ATGACACGACTTTAACTTGACACGAATTTTATGACACAAATTTGATTATAACTCGACACGAACTTAAAATGACTTGACACACGAACAAGAAATATAAAAGACTCATAATTTTATGACTCAACATGAATCTGACACAACACGACTCGATTGTCACGCCTAATTTTAACGAGCACACAAAAAAAAATATTCATTTTTATTTTTCATCCATTTAACCAAACACAAATGAAAGAAAGTGTATCATTCTTATTTCTCATCATTGAAGGATATAAAGTGTATCTCTCTTATTTTTCATCTTTCCTACTTTCTATCATTACTATCAAACGGAACATTAGTTATACTTGTTATATTTTTAAAAAAAATTGTGTTATTATTAGAATATAGGGGACTATAATGTAATTAATTTGGCAAAGTGATTTTATTATAATCCAGAAAGTTCTAGTTTCATATTATTTTTTAATACGAGGAGGTCTCACATGTAAATCTAACATGAGACACCAAAATTGATATCTCACTTAATATATGATCGTTTTTAGTATGTGTATTTGAAGCATGTCACTTACAAGTGAGGTGAGATACATATGGAATGAGCATGGCGTGGTTTTAAAGGAGGACAAGTCGGTAAATAAGGGTCATGGTCACAACAACACAGAGCGATGGGAAATGATACCTGTTTTCCGGCTCTCTTTGGCTGCATGAATACATGTGCACAAGCGTGCTGTATTCCTTTTGTTTTTCGGTCGGAAGAAGCCCCCAATAAGGCTGGTGAACTTTTTGGTTCAGACACCATATGATACTCTATGACCCACCGGTTTCGGTGTTTTGTCCAACATATGACAATAGTTGTTTTCCAATTTTTGTTCTTTCTCTATCTTATTTTATGCGGCTGTCCTCGTGACTGTACCAAAAAATTTTGGGACTAATTTCAGGTTTATTCCTAGGTTGTTGGTTGGCATGATGATAACAATTGAGTGACTAGTAGGTCATAAACTCGCTAGAGAATGTTTGATTCGAGTTAATATTTATTAACTCGACAGACAGAGTAGTCCATCACCACAGTACCAATAAAATCGAATAGTAAACCGTGTTAATCCCGTGAGTTAAACTCTGCTCGATAACTTCCATCATACCTTACCTTGATGAGGTAATTCAAGCAACTTGAATTTAAACACAATCTAAACAACCATGGCCAAAAGGATGGGCTTGAGGATGCTAATAATTGGGTTTCATTGTATTCAAATGTATATGATAGTTAGATGGCATCAATTTTATGGTCGTCAGTGGGGACGGACGGAGCCAGTAAGAGTTGGGTCCATGGGATAGCCCGCTAAATTAACACAGCCATGGACCATAATTCTTCTATGGGCATCAATCAATGGTTTTGACCGTTCGCCCCATATATTTTCTAGGGTCAGTGACTTTTGGACTGGGCTAGCTAGCCAGTCATTGCCCGCCCTCAATTTCACTAATCGAAAGATAAACTTGTTCAACAAGACAGCAGTAGTCAAACTTAGAAGCAAAATATACTAGTCGTGGAGATATGAGAGCAAGAGCAAATAGACTTTTTATACTATCTTTTATTTTATTTGGACTTTTCTATGCTCCTATTGTTTTCGAGTATCATAACAATTATATGTCCTCCCACTAATTTTCATATTTGATAATTAAGCACTGATTTTTAGTGTTTCTTTTTATTTCTTTATTTTTTGGTCTCTTTCATGTCTCAAGAAAAGAATAGTATATTACTAAAGTTTTAAAACGGCGTCGTAACCCATTACACCAAAACCCTATCCTAATTTAACAAAGTGGCTCGCGACTCACCTGATACAAAAATTGGTTTTGCGATTCTCCATCAATCAGGGCGAACAACGGACAACTCTCTCTCTCTCTCGCTCTCTCTCTCTCTGCCTTGTGCAAAGATCGATCACTCTCGCTGGGTTCAACGATTATTTCCGCTTGGAAGTTTTAGTCTCTCACTTCAAAGGTGATTCAATCTCATCAAAACACTTCTTTTAGTTTGTTAGATTTGATTTTTTGCTTCAATTTCCTGATTGTCCGATCTCCATATTTACTGTCATATTAGGGATTTTAAGGTGTGATTCGTATTTTTTTGATCTCTTAACGGTTTTATGTTGATCCCCTTTTGTTACATTGTTTTATTTTTATTTGCGGTCTTGTTTGGGTTGTAGTCAAATCTTTGGTATGTTACAAGTTCGTTACTGTTATTTCACCAGGATTGATTAATCTTCTCTGGGCTTTGATTATGCTTCATTGTGTATAAACCGCTGCACTTGTTAATTCTTATTGGGATCTTCTCTTCTTTTTTTCCCTGTCTTAGGTTCTATCAGAGCTGTATGCCCTAGGTAATTACTTTCACATGGTTCCTTAGAAGATTTGGGGAAATTTATCAAAATTGATTGTTAATTTGTCCCTTATTCGAGTTTTGGACTCCTTTTTTTGATCTTTTGGGGGTTCTTGGTTCTGTCAATGGGTTTGTGAGTAATATTTTCATTCATTACCTATAATATAAAGTAGAGCAGGCTTGACAGTCTCCAACGGCCACCAACATCCTTTTTAAAACCATTCGTATTACACCGAGCCACATGTTACCCCTAGTTAAAACGGCACGGTACTTAAGTAGAGCATCCCATTCTTTATAAGATAGAAGACACCTGTGAATTGAGATACCATCGGATCTTATTGCTTTGCGCTTACTGTGTAGTCATATATTCTTGAAGTGTTCATCTTGGCTATTTTCTTTAAGAGTTACAGATTGTGCTGGCGGCAAAATGGAGTAAAGCATTATCTACTGCGAGCAGACTAATAACTGCAACTTGCAACTCACAGAAGTATAATGCAGTCTAAGAGTCGAGAGAATGGAATAAATACCTGACCATACATTAGCTTGACATGGCTTATTGAAATTGCATTTCGTGTCAGACATGTTTTGATTATAATGTATAAATTTCTTTTCATATGGACATCCAGTTATTTATTGCACTTTCATGGTCAAAAGCAGAGAGAATGATTAATATGTATGTTATATCATATAAGGAGATGTTTTGTTTTATGTTTGTCATTTCATGTGCAAAATCTTCAATTGGAAGTTTTGAATAAGGAACTCAATATTTATTTAGTTACATATATGTACTTTTGCTATTTCATGCTTAGGTTTCTTCCTTACTGTCCTTTTTGGAGTACTATGACATTTATTAGTATTCACTTCTAGTGTTGAAGTTGGATAGGAATATCTACATAGCCATGAAGTTGAATCTCCTCTGAAGCTTTCGCATGAAATCTATGTGCCAACAATTTTCAGGTTCTCTAATGCTGTAAATAGTTGCGAGATCTTGTTTTATTCTCCCCCTCTTTCCTCCACTTTGTTCAAGATGTCATGTGATGAAGTTTGGAAGGCTGTTTTTTCCGCTACTGGAAGGCACGGACCTTGCTGCTTGTATGGTGGTATGTAAACAATGGCGAGAGATAGCCAGTGATGATTACTTTTGGAAGTGCCTATGTGCCAATAGATGGCCTTCAATCTGCAAGCAACCATCCCCGCCCACTGTAACTTACTACAAGCTATTCAAAACCTTCTATAAACGTCAGCATCGACGAACTCTTCTCCCACCAAGGCTGTCCTTCAAAGACTTGGAGTTTTACATTGACATTTGGGTCGAAGAGAGGTTAATTTTATCAGAAGTCGTCCCAGGTCCTGTTCTTCAGAAGGGGAGCTGGATCCCACCACCGGGAATTGGTGATGTGCTTAGGTTTCACTTGGAGGGCCCAGAATACAAGATGACTCTACCTGTGCAACCAAGGTTTGCTGTTTCTCTGAGCCAGACAATTACTGTCTCTGTGCTTATAGGGCGCAAGGATTCCAACAAAGTTGCTTGTATAATTAACAAATCAGGATTTGATTATATAGATCCAACAGCATATAGGGCCCATGCATTTGACTACCTCGACTTCTCCCCCCTCTACCCATTCGTATCTGGTATACGGGCGTGGATATCTTTGCTCTTCATGGATCTTGGTAGTGTGGGAGTCATTGAAGTTTTTGGAATTGAAATGGATTTCTGTGATGCTGCCAGCTCTGAAGAGGAGGTCCTGTGGCTATTAGACATGCTTGATTGGAAGTAAGAGGTCCATTCAGTGTAAAGCTTCTGTGGGGGCTGGGGGACTTGTGCAATTCAACCAGTTTCTAGCTCCCTCTGCCTCGAGCTGACCTAGACGGTACAATTCTCTTTCCCAATTGAGAGCTTTTATATATTCACTGTGGTTGTAAAGAAGAATAAGTATGGATAAAGTTCTATAAGTACATGCGCACATTTTAAAATCTCTTCCCAGGTATTTGGCATAGTTGAGGTATTTACAGCCCATCATCCACCTTCAACTCGGGGAATCTTACCCCTGTTTCAGGAACCAGTTATCATAATGTGTGCATTTGTAACTTAACTATTGTTTTTCTTCCTGCATTATTGATTATGTTGATTCTATCTTTTTTTTTTTTTTTTGGTTTTTGGGAGGGGAGGAGGACTTGAACCCTTGACTTCAGGAAGACAAAGTCTTGACAAAGTACGGAGTACCAATGGACCAAAGGCCCGTTGGTATTGTTGATTGTATCTGGTGGATGTTAAATCCTGAAGATTATCTGATCAATTTAGGGTGTGTTTGGCTTACCTAGTGGATGGACATTTTCAGGCCAAAAAGTCCATTTTACAACATCATAAGCTGTTTGGTGAATCAGCAGTTTTGTCATTTTAGATAGAAGTGCCTTCCCAGAATGCGCATTCTCAGAAGTCACCTTAGCAAGCTTCTCTAAATGGGACTTTTGGACTTCTCGGACATCTCGCGAAGTCGATCCTCTCATTTAAGTAATTATAACTAGGTTCCATTATTACCCTCTTTTTTTTTTTTTTTACAATGGTATCCTTTTTAAATCCTGGAACATTACTAATTTGCACAGCCACATTATCTACATACGAAGCAAAAAAACAAAGCAAGTCACTATCATCTCTGTTATCGCATACCGACTTTCGTAAATCTATACATATATTCTGTATGAAGTAGATGACAAGGAAGTCCTCCGGTGAACTCATAAAATGTCAAAACCTCACAGAGAAGTTCATCCGAAAGCAACCATACCATGGTGAGAAAGATTACTCAGCGCTGCCGGCCTCATGTTCCTGAGATTCTGTTGCTGCTGCACTTCAGGAGGCCACTAAGATGTTGCAGAGACTTCTCTTGCATCTGTGGGTGTGGCAAGAGGACATGGAGATGTACATCTATATTCTGTGTAATTTCCATTAGATGTCTTCGCAAGACCTTGATTTCTTCACTTGGATTGGCTTTAGAAGGTGGGTTTTGTTTTGTTTTTTTTTTTTTTTTTTTTTGGGGGGGGTAGCATAAGTAGACTTGCATTTGATTAGATGCTTAAAAAAAGTATACAGCTTTGGACCTTGGTCACATATAGTCTGTTATTGCCAATTTTATTTTTTATTTTTATCAATAATGATATTTGCTTTGTCTTTATACACTATTTAATGTGACATGATCCCAACCACTGAACATTTAATAAATGCAATGATACCCATTAATTTGATGATTCACATTGACTTGGTATGCATCACCTTCCGTGCACTACTTGACCATTTAATATTTAATAAACTTGATGGGAGCCATTAATCTGATCTGATGGTGCACGTTGAGACGGTGCACAAAGATGTAAGCGTAACATTGTTGTTTTTTTAATTAAACTTGAAGTAAAGTTTTAGAATTTAGGCAGATATGACAATAAATTAGAAATTCTAGTTTTTATGTTTTAAATTTCATGTCTTTCAACAAGATAAAATATGACATTGATGTAACACATTTGAAGAAAATTGGAATAAAATTTTGTTGAGTTGAATTTTTATTATTTGCGTTGTATTTAGATTATTTGCTACATTAGATAATTAGTATAAATATTTGCATCTTATTTAAATTATTTGCTAAATTACCTTAGATAATTAGTATAAATGTAGATAAGGTTAAGGGTAACATTGCAAATGAAGAAAAAAAATTTCATGTTCTGTTATATCCTCTACGCCCATACCTTCCGTGTTCATCCCCTTTAGATTTTTCGAAGTGAGAATCTATAAGACCTTCGTCAATTTGTGATAAAAACACAATTTTGTTTGTTGATCTGGCAGATGAGACAGTGGAAGTGGTGGTTGTATAAATCTCCATCTCGGTGAACTCGTAAAGCATATTTATGAATCATTCATTCATTCCACACACACACACAAAACTTTCTGCATTTTGTACTTGACTTGTGACTTAGACCTCACTCTAACATCTTTTTCGCCCACATGCAAGTCCATTCATTCTTCTTTTTGAAGTAACCTTTTAAAGCTTCGCCAACAACCATATTTGGTGGTCATACCTGACTCACAATCACACCTCATATATATGATTTGTTATTGCACTGAAAAAAATTCTGACTTGTCACATTTCATCTTTCATGCTACCCAATCACACCTCAAGGTTAAGGGTAATCAGTATTTAATTTATTTGTGGTGGAGGGTTACAAATCATTTTTAATTATGGAAAAATATGAGAAACACACATAAACAGCTATTGAATTGAACCCACATCAACGTAAGACATATGCTTCAAAGTAAAACTTTGCAGGAAACTAAAAATGAAAATCCATCACACAGAATAATTGAGGATCTACCAATTATAATAGATTTATCAATTTAGAGCATGCAGCCATTATCAGTGAACTATTAAATCTTTAAACTGGAGCATTCCCATAAATCCACAATGCAGAGTACTTCAGACTATAGAGAGAGAGGAGAGGATGTACCTGCTATACTGTGTACTATTTCACACTTGAGGGATGCTAGGAAATGGGAATCGGCGATGGAGCTCTGGCCAGTGAATCCCTTCTACCTCGACTTCGGCACAGTGCAAAGAAGAAAAAGAGATAGAGATTGAAAGAGAGAAAGAGAGAGAGAGAGAGAGAGATAGAGAGAGAAAAGACTGAGGACTGAACTGACGAACAATTACAGGAGCAACAAACATAAGGCAATAAATCCAACAAATATTCGTAACCCATAAAAAAAATGTCAACCCACAAATATATATTGAGAGAAAGAGAGAGAGAGAGAGTAGAGTCAGTAGACAATAGTGAGAGGGAGAAGGGGGGAGGGAACTCACCATGTCGCTGGTGGAGGTTATGCTCAACCGTTGCTGTTTGGTGGTCTGCTCGTCGGTCTGATCGTTGCTGGTGCTGGAGTGGAGGTTGGTTTGGTCGCTGGTTGGTGGTGGAGGCATTGCGAGGCTAGTCTGGTAGCTTGTTGGTGGTGGAGGCGTTGCGAGGCTGCTCGTCTGGTGGAAATGGAATGATTTAGGTCAAAACGAAATGGGGAAAAATGCCCAAATAAAAAAAAAATCTCGGATTTATAGAAAGGAAGTTAAATCGTCCGGTTTGTTAAACTCGTCCGATTCTCACAGGTTTATCAGTTTTTGACCGGTTCAACAGGTTTAGTCCGATTCCTTACATAAATGGTCTTTTAATTGACCCGGACCAATTAAGGGGGCGATTCACTGGATTGACCCGTCGGGCTAGACATGATTTTAAAACGCTGCTTTTCGGTTGCTCATCACTTTTACAATAACCTAAGATTTTTCCCAATAAAATTAACTATGAAATAATTTTTTTGATGATTGAGAATTGATTTACCACGCTCTTATTATATTTATGGCTTATTCGTGAATCCAAAAATACGTTACAAAAGACAAATGTCGAGTTAACAAAATATTGTTTGTGAAAGTCAAACTTAGAAATTAAAAAACTTAAAAAAAATCGGGAATTAAAATAAGCTTAATCACGTTTGAAGTTATTCCCATGCGATGGTCGAGCCTACCTGCCATGGTTAAGCAGCGTCAAGGAAAGGCACGAGGTCATGTGTACTTGACAGTGGTTCATAACCCATCAAATCGCGTCAGAAATTTACTCTGGTTTTCCGTATTTACCCCTCTCACGCTCACCCGACATGAGTTGGTGAATGGTCACAAAAAGACGTTAGTGTCCTAAATAGTAAATCAGACGGGTAGATTTTGGATGTGCGCCGACTATAAAATGAGGTGCCCCATCTGCTTACTTTTATTCAGGTTCTTACGAATCCACTCAACAGAGCAGCTCTCTCTCTCTCTCTCTCTCAATTTTCCTCCGGAACTTCATACGATAAAACAGAAGCCACGATCTTAGAGGTAATTCAATTCTCAATTTCAGTTTCAATTTCGTGATATGCATACATTTATGTTTGCATTATATATCGACGCCGTTTTTAATGAAATGTATAAATTGTTAATTTGAATACTGCCTTTGGCTGTTCTGTTTTGATTTGTTTGTGATCTGATTTATGTTATATGAAATTGATATGTTGTCTGTGATTTGGATAATTGGATCAATGGATCTGTTTGTAAGTCTGCTAGTTGTGTTCTCAATTGCTGGATCAGATTTAGTATTCGATCTTAAATCGTACTGTATTGTGTACTCAAGATTTTGGTCAATGTTCAACAATCACTATGCAATATGGATCTAGTGCGCACTGATGGATCTAACTGAGAAATGAGATAATTAATTCACATGTACGAGCAAATATGTTGTGTTTATTACTCAAAATCAAGATTTATTGGTAGAGATTAGTTCCTGTGTCTTGTATATGTGCGTTGGATCTGACTATGACTACCTAAAGTTGTCTTTATCCTCAGCGCCTCTTTGCTGCTCTGATCTTTCTTGATTGAGTGAGATCACTGTGTCAATGGAGTCAACCATACAGCCGTGTTTGCTCCAATTTTAGCTGATCTGAGATGAAAAACATACCACATTCTTGTTTTCTTTGATGTTCTTCGAAATGGAATGTCTCAAAACATGAACATGCCCTTTAGCCTCGATGTACTCTGAAATGGAATGTCTCTTCCTTCACTGAAATTGAATCTAGGTTTCGGAGTTATATGAAACTTGTTTACGAATTAGAATTTAAAATCTTGGCAGTATTATCGTGTTTGTATGCATATGATTCTTGCTTGTCTCTTTCCTTCTATTATTTTCTTCTAAGAAGTAAGGCTTGTGGATCCCTTTGACTCCATCTGAGTGCAGCTCTGGCAGAAGTTGTTTAACAGATGCATTGCATCATTTCTATGCACTGATAGCTGTTGTTGGCTGGATTGATACCGTAATGAAAGATCAAATTGCTTATGCAGATACTGTATGTAACATGAATGCTATTCATTGATCTGCTTGACTGCAATCATAAGAGTAGTACACTAGTAGTTGTAAGCTGAAAGTGTATTGCACTTCCCTGCATCTGCATCTATTGATGCAAAACATAACCAACTATTATTACATGTTCTGAAAATGAAATTTCTGCAACGTTGTTGTTCTTTTCTGATATATGAACTTCTGTTTAGATAGAGTGCAAGCACAGACGAAAATGGTGAAGATTTGCTGCATTGGAGCAGGGTATGTTGGGGGTCCAACAATGGCAGTGATAGCACTCAAGTGTCCTTCCATTGAAGTGGCAGTTGTTGATATCTCTGTGTCTCGGATTAACGCCTGGAACAGTGATCAGCTTCCCATCTATGAGCCAGGCCTCGACGATGTGGTGAAGCAGTGCCGAGGGAAGAACCTGTTCTTTAGCACGGAGGTGGAGAAACATGTATCTGAGGCTGATATTGTCTTTGTTTCTGTCAACACCCCAACCAAGACTCGAGGTCTTGGAGCAGGAAAAGCTGCAGATCTGACATATTGGGAGAGTGCTGCCCGCATGATTGCGGATGTGTCAAAATCCAACAAAATTGTAGTTGAGAAATCAACTGTACCAGTCAAGACAGCGAGGCAATTGAAAAAATTCTAACCCACAACAGCAAAGGAATTAACTTCCAAATTCTCTCAAATCCTGAATTTCTTGCTGAAGGGACTGCAATCCCAGATCTCTTTAATCCTGACAGAGTCCTCATTGGAGGCAGGGAGACTCCAGAAGGGCAGAAGGCAATCGAAGCACTGAAAGATGTTTATTCCCACTGGGTCCCTGAAGAACGAATCCTCTGCACTAATTTATGGTCTGCAGAGCTCTCAAAGCTTGCTGCCAATGCCTTCTTGGCACAAAGGATCTCATCAGTTAATGCCATGTCAGCTCTCTGTGAGGCCACTGGGGCAGATGTTACCGAGGTGTCATATGCTGTTGGTAAGGACACAAGGATTGGTCCCAAGTTCCTGAATGCTAGTGTTGGTTTTGGTGGGTCTTGCTTCCAGAAGGACATTCTGAATCTGGTTTACATCTGCGAATGTAATGGCCTCCCAGAGGTGGCAGAATACTGGAAGCAAGTCATCAAGATCAATGACTACCAGAAAAGTCGTTTTGTTAACCGCATTGTTTCCTCTATGTTCAACACCGTTTCAAACAAGAAAGTAGCCATCCTAGGATTTGCCTTTAAGAAGGATACAGGTGATACCCGAGAGACCCCGGCCATTGATGTTTGCAAGGGGCTCTTGGGTGACAATGCACGGGTGAGCATATATGATCCACAAGTCACTGAGGACCAGATTCAGAGGGACCTTACAATGAACAAGTTTGACTGGGACCACCCCCTTCACCTCCAGCCAATGAGTCCTACCGCCGTCAAGCAAGTGAGTGTTGTTTGGGATGCCTACACGGCAACAAAGGATGCCCATGGTGTTTGCATTCTCACCGAGTGGGATGAGTTCAAGACTCTTGATTACCAGAGGATATATGATAACATGCAAAAACCAGCTTTCATATTTGATGGTAGGAACATTGTGAACGTGGATAAGCTGAGGGAGATTGGTTTCATTGTGTACTCAATTGGCAAGCCGCTGGATGCCTGGCTAAAGGACATGCCTGCCGTGGCATAAAGGCAATGCTTCCATCGAGTCACTTGTGTTGGAACAGAAGAACAATAGTCACAAGGCAGTCAATTGGATTCGATTTTTCTTACTTTTCCCTGTTAGTCAGACAATAATTGATGTTACCATCTGGGGTAAGGTTTATGTTTTCCATTTGCATTGAATTGATGATACCACGTGTTGTCTGTTACTTGTTTTGTTAGAGGACCTGATTCATTTTTGTTGGTTGATGAAAACGCTCATTATAGTAAGTATTCTATTTGATCTCTCTGGCAAGTGTCGAGTTTGGTGTGGGATTTTTAACCTTGTTTATTATGTATCTTTTCAATAGCTGCAGGCCAGACGACTATAATTCCTTAAAAATTAAAATGTTTGTCGAATTTTTTTCTTTTCTTGCTGTATTATATGAATGCGGAAGAGGCCTGAATTTCTTCTTTCAGCACAGCAGCGGTGTTTTGTTTCAGCAGTATTCTCATCTTTTCAACACGAATAATCAGGGGATTCCTCTTGATGTTTCTGCATTAGTTTGCTTCTTCTTCATTCACTTCAGTTTAGCACGCCTACAAACTTTTGTAGATCCTTAGCAGGAGTTATCATAATTGATTTAAAGCTACTGTTGTTTCTCCTTTGCTAGTTTCGTATGTTTTGTGAAATAAGGATCTTGCCCTTTGTGCTAGAATTTACATGTCTATGAATCCAACCATGAATGGTTGGCAAGCAAGCTATCAGGGACCCCGGAGCTATGCTTATTTCCAACTCCTCCAAGCAGTTTGTTGCTTATTACATCTTTCCTCCTCCCTTGGTGCCTAGATATCCACCGAAAACTTTTTCTTGTTTAAGCTTTGTCCTTAACTTTTAACTTTTAGGCTGACAAACGGATGGATCTTATCAACATCCGTGAATGAAAAATCATAAATTGAATAGCCGAATTAAAACAGAATTGAGTGTTATAATATATTTTTTGATTTTGAAGCCAAAAAATAAAAATTTGATATCATAATCCTATTATAGCATATTCATTCTCTAGGATTGGATCGTCAATCCTCTTGAATTCTACTTGATTTGTATTACTATGGAAATAAATACATTATAAATACATATTTTTCCAAAAATTCTAAGTATGGCCCAATAAGTTGTAGACAATAAAATACATATAAAATATAGAATTATAGCTAAAAATAAATACAATTATTTTATCCAAATTACTTTAATCACAAAAATTCTAATCTCAATAAAACTCTCACTCTCAGATTTTGTATTTTCTTCATAACAAATATGTTGTTTAATTTGTAAATGGATTTTATTTTATATTATGACTACTGATGTATTTCTACTTTTTTTTAAGAAATTGACTCTAAATTTAAAGTAATATTACGCGAATTTAAAAATTAGATTTAATAATTATAATAATTTATTTTAATGTGAGTCATACTCTTTATTGAAATTCACTAATTATTTAATAATTGTGATTATTATATTTAATTTTCAAATTCATGTAAGATTAATCGTAAATTTAATTACAACATAACAGGAGAATCGAGTATTCAAAGGTACTCCATCAACCCCATGGGTAAAGGGCCCCAGCTGTTCTTGCTTTTCTTCTATTTATTTTCACTTTTTTCTGTGGGTCTAACGTGTCATTTGTCAGCCGTCACGTGGATCCTACGAAGCAATTATCTCCGAATTCCAACAACCTCCAATCCAATCCAATCAGTACAGCCGAAGATTCCCAGTCCTCAGATGGAGATGGCCTCTCACCACCACCCCCACTGCCACCACCAAATCAGCCAACCCACCACTCTTACCATCACTTCTTGTTGCTGCTGCTGTTGCACCCCATCTCTCCACCACACAGCATCACTAGACCCACTTTTCCAGTCCCTAGCCTCTCACCTCCACCGTTCTACCCCTCAACCCCACCTCTACTCTCACTATCTCAATCCACCCTATAACATGCACCACCACCATCAAACCCATTGTTACCCACCACAACCCCACCAACACACACCGCAAAACTTTCAATACCGTCAGCCCCACCACCAACAAGAACAAACAATAACCAATGTCTCCTCTCTCCTCCGCCGCATCACCGCCCTCGAATCGTCCGTCCGCCACCATTCTTCTTCTGCTTCTTACTCTCTCCGTGATGCCGCCGCCCGTACCATCCAAACCCACTTTAGAGCCTTTATTCTTCACAGATCACGGACCCTCCGTCAGCTTAAAGACCTCGCTTTAATCAAGTCAGCCCTTAATTCTCTCAAATCATCGATTTCTGGCAATAACCGCTCTGATTGTGAAATTCTCTGTTACAAAGCCATGGATTTGCTTCTGAAGCTCGATTTTATTGAGGTAATAATCAGTCGCATATCTACAAATATGTATTTACGTAAGCAGTGTGCAGAAGATCTAATGTAAGTTTGTTTGCAGGGTAGTGATCCAATGATTAGAGATGGTAAAAGGTCAATTACCAGAGAATTGATTGGATTCATGGACCTTGTTGATGGATTTTCTGTGAAAAGGAATGAGCTTTCCAGCAGAGTAGGGAAGAGTGTTAGATATGCTGGGAGTGATAACAACCCTAGGGTTTCTCATAGTGAGAAGAGAGTGGGTGCTGTTGAATGTAAGGATTTTGGAAGTGATAAAAGAATATTGCTAGAGAAAATTAGGGGTCAAGTTGAAAAGATTCAGCGGTTCTCTAGGGCTTCTCAGGATGATGATGAGAATGTTATGGAACTTGAAAATTCCAAAATTTTCGTAAATGGAAAATATGGGGTTTCTCCAAATAGAAGAGGGGTTTTTGTAAAAAGGCATGGTGAGCTTGAAGCCAAAGTGAGGAGAAGTGTGAACTTTGCAGAGAATGGGAATGTGCATAGGATTATTAGCAGCAGTGGTGAAGCCGGTGAGCCTGTTTTAATTGGAGATTGTAATAGCAGTGATGGGAGTGATTCTGTCGATGCTGAGAGAGTGTTTGTGGACAATCTGGGTAGAGAGATTGAAGAAATTAGGGTTTCTTCCAAGAAGATAGGATGATGAGGAAACTCACCCAGAGGATGCTGTGTCGTCCCAAATCAGTGATGGTGAAAGAGAGCCTAAAAAAGAACTGAGAACTGAAGATAGTATATGAGACAAGGAGGCATTACTATGATGCAGATGGGAGTTTTGTATTGTCTACTCGATTGCCTTGAAGATGGTAGCTAGAGCTGATTTATTGAACAATAGGAAGACTAAAAAGTAGTGAAATAATGGGCAAGAACACGAATTAGGTCTTTAGGCTGCAAATTTTGTAATTTTTGAGTGGGAATTAGGCTTCTTTGTACTCTAATTGTTAGATTACACTGATCAGAAAACTACGCAGGAAGAGGTTAATGGGAGATTTGATTCAACCAAAGTATGTTGTAACCTTGGTGTCTTGTAGTGAGTTGTCTTATGGTAACTCTTTGCTGTATTTTGCTAATCTCCTGAATGATAAATCTTCATGGTAGTCTTTCTTTTCATTTTGGTTACTAAAATTAAGTGTAAAATTGTGGGTCAACGATGTTGTGGAGTGTCCAAGAGATGCTAAGTGTGACCGACAGTAAAGAGAACTAATAGACAGCATGATTGTCACGGTTTAAAATTTTCAGCCACCAAATCATCATGGCAATGTTTAAGTCCAGTTATTGCAATCAACTCATCCAGTGTTTCTGAGCAAAAAGAATCTTAGCTCAATAGGTAATTGTCATGAAAGATTGTATGGTGTAATCTGGAAGGAGAAAGCCAAAGGATGAGATCGTCATAAAACCTAAATCATCATTTGATGACACGTTTTTAAAGTATTAACGAAGGGAGGACCTTTCAAATCATTTTTTAAGTACTAATGACGGGATTAAAGTACAGTAGCACATAAATGAAGTTAGCAAAGCAACAATAGAAAGTAAATAGACCTAGTCTAACAGGTTTTCAGTTGTGCTGTGACAGAATGTCTAAATTTATTCTTGACATTCTAAATATTTTTATCTTGCATAACTCTCTTTATGACTACCGGAAAAAGTGTTGTAGCATGTATGTGGTAGAATGTATCAGAGGGACGTGGTGACCTTGCTACATTGATCAATGTTGACATTTTCAATGGTGATGCTTAGAAGAGCATTAGAGCTTTGTCGACTGCAGCAGTTTGAAGGTGTGAGGCCTAATGCAATAACTTTGGCTTCTCTTCTTTTTGCTTGTGCTGATTTGCCTTCTTTGAAGCTTGGCAAGTGCTTGCAGGGGTGCGTGATGAGACAACTGGAATCCGATGTAAATATGGAAACTGAACTGATTGGCAGGTATGATTCTGTCATACTTAGCCTCAGGCATGTTCAGAAAAACTTAAAAGAGAGAACAATCCCATGAATGCAATTCTTTCTGGGTGCATTCATGTTAGCTTGCAAGAGGAGCAATCATAAGATGCTATTGAAAAAGTAGATCCACATATTGCAAGCTTAAAGAGCCTCCTCCCTGCATATGTCATTCTTGCAGATTTCCAGCAAGCAAGGAATATCCACTGTTACCTAACAAGATCGCAGTTTCTTTCTAGAATTGAGGTTTCTTCTGGTTTGATTGATATGTACACCAAATAGAATATGCGCACAAGATCTTCAATTTCTGCAAAGGATGAGGACATCATTCTGTGAAGTGTGATAATAGGTGGTTATGTAATGTGGAGGCATAGCGAGGCTGCTGTTTCTCTTTTCAATCAGATGGTTCAATCTGAAGTTGAACCAAATGAAGTTACTTTTAATTCTGTGTTGCATGCAGTAAGCAATATATATAAGAACTAGGTGAAAAATTACTGCCCTTTGGATAGAGATCATGGGACATATGAAGAAAGAAGTAGGATTAACAAAACACCAGCTCACTGTTCAATTGAGGTCAGAATGATGTGATGTCAGTGTTATGTCTTCACTACTAAAAGATAAGAGCCTGAGCTTGGACAAGAGTGCCATGAAAAGAAAAAGTTCCAAGTGAGGCTGGGTTCATCATATGGAGAATAGATAACCTTTTAAGGAGTGCTAATATATGGAGCAGAGGCATGAACTGTTGAAGGGTCTACTGAACTGGCCAACTCCAAATCAATTTGGAAGGGAAGGCTACTTTACAAATGCAATTGATGTTTATCAAATCAGTGGAGTGATCTTAATGTTTAATAGCATTGGGAGTAAAGCATACATCACTTGATGGAATGATTGTGAGGTCAAAGAAAGGCTTTGATCAATTTTAAAGAATCCTACATGTTTACACCTAAGACCTGCAGATGTATGGGAGTTTTCCAATTTGAAAGCATCATCATCGCTGTGAAAGCCAAGTGTGTCAGGTTAGCCTTTGAGTTTATCAGTAACAGTTAAACTCTTCAACGCAAGATGATAACTGGATTGGTCAAATTTGTTCGTCGACATTGCAAATTTAAATCCAAAGAGGGGAACATACAGCATACTGATTACTTGATATGTGTCTTACTGTCAACATATTTTTTGGAAGGAAAAGTAGTTCAGTTCATCAATTTCATAGATTCACATTCATCAATTTTACTATTCTTTTCTCCTTCTTAACAATGGTTGGGATGTGAAAAACTGTGAATCAATACAAGAATTGTGACATAAAAAAAACTTTTCAATCTTGGATCTATCACATTTGACCTTGAGAAATCTTCAACAAATCCATGGCCAAAGTTTTGTGATGATGTAACTAGGTATCCGTAAAATTCTTTACCAATACTACTTGATAATTAGATGGGTATTTTCTGTTTAAATAACCATGGTATGATGACAATGTGTCACTGATCACTTCATCTTTTTGGTCCTTACATTCCTGTCTATTTTGCATTGTTCTCTTGTTACTGATGTTGTTTATCTTCTTGTTTCACACATGCAACACATAGGAGAGGTTTTCCAATATTATTTCTTGCTCTTGGTTTCTTACAACTGCTATATGTTTTGGTAAAGTATGAAAATTAAAACACATGAGCTTCTATGTATTGACACCAAACTAAAATCGCGTTCATCAACCTCTTCATCTTCTCTTTCTCTAAAAAAAATATTTTCTGCTCTAATTTTGTTAAGAATTTACATAATTTTTTTTTTCATTCTTTTGTCTTTGATATATGGAAGGCACTAGCAACTGACATCTCAAGTTAAATCCTTTTGCAAAAGTGAAATGAACCAATCTTCTGAAATTGTTAGGACCCTTGCCATCTTTGTTCCAGGTGCAGTTGGCAACACTGTGCCTGAATTTTCACAATGTATTCCTAGCATTAATCTTATTCCTATTATCACAATATGGGTTAACAAAAAAGGGTGAAAGAGACTTGTTATTTATTTATTGGCATGTACTCAGTTTTCTGATGTTGATTGTTATGTCATTCCAAGCCTAAATAAAGCATTGATAGATCACCTATTATTCCAAACCATTGTCTCCAACTCACAGGTACAAGCCATGTGCCGAAGCCTTTTTTACATGTTCATATGCTCTTGGACGGCCCACATATTGCTGTTTGTGTGTATGAGAGAGAGTGAGAGTTTTATGGAATATAAGGCTTGCAGGGCAGGTTTAGTTCTTCTTTTTTTTTCTTGGTGAGTAACCTGTCCAATGCAGGGTTACTTTGAACTCATTCTTGCGAGAGTATACTTGAGATACCTACAATTGCCTATAAACCACAAGTATTTGTTAAATCCGAGAGACACTAGTGAGAGTCGAATCTTTGATGTCTGGATCTACGATCTTTCGGGGCCAACCCTACACCACTACACTACCCATGCGAGTTAGGCAGGTTTACTTAATCTCTCATATTTGGTAGATTTCCCAAATTCAATGAAAATACATTTTTGAAAATATCCTTAGGTTACTGTGATTTGATGGTCATTTTGCCGATACTGTGGCAGACAGTGTTCAATGCTAACATGTTCACAATTTATTCAATGAACAACTTCAAACAATAATCCGTGACAGTTCAGCCTAACAAGTTTAATGTCAGTTAACATACCAGCCTAACATGAAATACATGTAGTTGATGTGTCTTGATATAATAGTAAGGTTATTTGGTTGAATTTTATAAGTCATAGATCAACTTATAAAAATAACCTTTGCAGACGGTATGAGATTGGGTACATAAAATCATCCTTAATTCTCATAATAACAGGAATCTCGTACATTAAAGTAAATAACTTTTAAAGCCTCTAATAGTACAATACAACCGAGTTTGATGTTTTTTTTTTTTTTGGTCCGAATATAAACCACCACAACCGAGTTAATGCCTATACATTGTGCCTGGTCCAAATAGTTAACCTAATGGTCCTGCATTGCGAGAAAAAGCAATGCCCTCCCCCTTTATTTCCAAAAATTTAATCAAAACAAAACAAAAACTGGCTATTTTAGCTAGGTAGGACATTTTTTTTTCAATACCTAGATAGTTTGTTAGGCATGTGTCATGTGTGCATGACCTGATTGACAGCCTAACATTAAAATATGGGCTAAACTCAATCCATTATACTAATTAATCAACGGGTCTTTGGTCCAATAGTACTTCTTACTTTGTAAAGATTTTATTTTTTTGAGGTCAAAAATTCAAACCCTCTTCTTCTTCCCCTCCAAAAAAAAAATATACTAACTACATGAATTGTCCTCCACCAGTTAGATTTCTGTTTCTTTTCTCCTTATAGTTTTTGTTTGTGGGGTGGGGTGGGGTGGGGTGGGGGGGAATACACTGACTTCCAAAAATGCAAAAAAACAAACTGATCAAAGACCATTTTGGCCACAAATTGCACATGCTATGAGAATAACATCTTGACCCACTATAACCATAATGAAAAATTTAAATCTATTGTGTAAAATTATGCATATGATAGATTTATCAGATGGTTGAATTACCATTAATCTAACCCCTTGAAGTTCCTTAACGGTTTTGAATTATAACTAAGATTAACATATCTCACCCATTTTAAGTGTTGAATTAAATTATATATGGTACAAATATGACTATATATAAATATAAAAGAATTGCATATTAAATAGGACGATACGATACGACTTGCACACGACACTAATCCAACACAATGTCACCTGCTATCAACCCCTAAATAAGATCTAATCGTATTCCAATTGAGGTGAGCTTTAAAAAAAAAAATCAAAAAAATCACATGCCTTTCTTCCATCAAATTGATGTGACATAAACAGAACAACAAGTACTATCAATTATTTTAATCTGAATTCAAAATTTAAAGATGTATCTAAATATAACTAATCTAATCTAATCTTATATTATCCATAAGCTTCCCCATTGTCTTAGGAGTTAAGAAATATCTAAAATTAGGCTATTTAGCTCCATTGTCTCTCCCACCCTACTCTCAAGGTCAAACCATTCATCTCTCTCTCTCTCTCTCTCGGTATTTCCCTCTCTTTTTTCTCTCTCTAACGGAACACGGTATTGACGAAAAAGGCGATTCTTTTTTGAATTTACAAATTGGGTTTAGGAAATATCCAATAATTGCAGATTGGACCAATCAAAAAGTCATTTACAAACAAGGAAAGTAAAATACTAAAATAAGGAAATATCGTTCTCTCTGTCTCTCTCCGCGTTCACCCTCCCAATCCAAGGAGAGAGAAAGCAATCATCATCGAAGGAGAAGATACTATTACTCTGATATTTTTTTGTTTGTTTGATTCGTCCTCCGCGGAATTCATTTCGTGTATACGTAGATATATGCAAATCTGTATAAAACCCTAGTCGTCATAGTTGTGGCGGAATTTTGAAATCCAATGTATTGGTCTCCGAAGAGACCCCAAACGACCAATTGGATTGGATACACTTCTCATTCTCGATCTTCGAATTGCGGTGGTGGATCTGATCGTGAGAAGATTGCGGGTGGGTTAATAGGGGATAAGTATTATTGGGATTGCGGATTGTGGTGGTGTTCAGTTAGAGTTTTGGCCGTCGTGGAGGGGGACGATGCAGCTACACTTCTCACCTAGCATGAGAAGTATAACGATATTGAGCAGCAATGGGGTTTCTGACTTGATGAAGGTCAAGGTCGCTCGCCAAATCTCTTACCGTACACTGTTCCACAGCATCCTCATCCTCGCTTTCTTGTTGCCGTTCGTCTTCATTCTCACTGCGGTTGTTACCCTAGAAGGTGTCAACAAATGCTCCTCATTCGGTAATCCAAAATTCAATATTCATTTTCTCTCCATTTGCATGAAGTATCCATTCACATATTCTGATATTTCACTTCCATATATATATCAATTCATATGTGGATAATTATTTTTTTATTGATTGGTTACCCAGATCTTAAATTTATTACATGCCTTCGTTGATCTTCTTGGTTGTTGGGATTGTTATTTGATTCAGTATACAGTGGATTTGATTTGAATTGGGTTAGTATTCTTCCATCAGAATGCTAATTGGTTGAGAGGCCGGAATTGGGTTTGTTAGACAGAAAATGATATTAATTTCTTTTACTCCATTTGGAATGCTAACTAGCGGATTAAGATCCATGATATTGCCATAATTCAAACTGGAGCATGTTTAAGTGTTTGGTGATTCTATTGCATTAATATCGTTACACCGCACATGCGTTGTGGTATTATGGATTTAGCTGGACATACAAATGGATTGTGGTTTGATTTTTGACTATGTTTTTGGGCAAGAAAAACAATTTTATTTTTAGAATGTTGGATATGCTTAATGCAGATATATCTTAGAGAAAATATTCCCAGTTAGGTTAGATCATATTTGTCCGGGGTTATGTTTTCTTTCTATATTCTTATTTTTCCAAGGTCTTATTGCGATGAAGACTTCGTTTTAGTTACTGGTTTGGCCAATGAGTAAAGTCATAGGATTAATCAAAACATGATTGAGCCCATTGTATATTTACATGGTTGACAAGCGATTTAAGCTCATATTTTCTCCCTTTGCTCCTTACTTCCCTTTTAAAACTGGAATTTATTTAAATCATTTTTGTAAGCTATTACAGTTTTACGAGTGGGTGCTTTCATTTAACTTTTCAGCTCTTTGGTGTAATTATCTCATGCCTGTGATTCTTTTTTTTATATATTTTTTTGGGGAGAAGAGAGGAGAGGGGAGGGGGAGGGGGGACTTGATCCTTGACCTCAAGAAGACAAAGCCTTTATAAGGTAAAGAGTACCATTAGACCAAAGGTCCATTGGTGCCTGTGATTCTGTCCCACCTACTTCCCCCTCTTTTTCTTTGATCTATTCTCTTTCAGGGTAATGAATTCCTCTGTAGCATGTTCTATTGTACATTTTTGTTGGGAATTTTTTTACTTACTTTTCGTAGCCTGCTCTCTATGTTTTTTGACGGGTTACTAACTTGCGTGTGTAAGTGTGTTTAATGCTGTATTGTTTATTTCTGATGTTGTGATAACATTTTTTTTTTGGTTCTTGTGTGCTTGCTTTCTGTAGTCCGGTTTTTGTGTATACATATGTTGTTAGTCAAGATTGTCTATTTTCTTTGTATTTGCAAATATGTTGACCTATTAGTGGCAATCTTGGGTTTCATTGTTTGCTTTTTATGTGCTTCAGATTGTTTAGGTAGGCGATTGGGACCAAGGCTTCTTGGTAGGGGTGATGATACAGGGGTAAGTGTTACAATTTATTTTATTTTATTTACTGTTCAATTTCAATTTTAAGTTTTAAAATATCCCACATGTTTTACCTTCTTTTATATGCAAACAATGTGTTAATTTATGGTTTTTTCTTCCTTAAAACCGAATGTTTGTTATGTTTGTGTTTCAGCAGAGACTGGTTAGAGACTTCTACAAAATTCTCAATCAAGTGAACACCGAGGAAATCCCAGCTGGCCTAAAGCTCCCAGGGTCATTTAGCCAACTTGTTTCTGAAATGAAAAACATCAAGTACAGTGCAAAGGAGTTCGCATTGATTTTAAAGGGCATGGTACATAGCATGTTACCTCACTTATATGTGTAGATATAAGTGCATATGTAGAAATGTTTTGCCTGGTGTGTGTATATGTTTTGAATCCT